AGTTATTGTATTCATATCCCTTCGTTTCAAAAGAATTATGCATTTCAACATCTTGTAGGTAATAAATGGCGCTCTAAGTGTCTTAAATACCGATTGTGTTATGACATTCGGCAGCTCCTTCTTTCAGCAGTTTTGTATTATGCCGCATATTAATAAGAGACGTAGCAAAAATAAGAGGCATCCTTTTTTAGACTTAGCAAAGTGACTACGAGGATACAGGCCTATCTGATTCATTACAGTTGCATTGGTGGCCGGAGTAAACAGCTCTCTGAGGCAGAACGAGTGTTATTTTACATTTGGCAAGTTAAGCCGCAGTGCAGCAATAAATATTCGAGTACTTACGTTCCCAATAATATTTTTTACTCTTATGAAGGACCTTTCGAAAGTTTGGAAGTTCACCGGCCAAAGGAGACAGATGAAAATAACCGAAAATAAGAGACTGCAAGGACTTAGGAACCCCAACAGGAAACTCAGTTACGAAAGCCCTGGAGATATGCTAGCTTTATCTGACTGTTCGCCCCAGCAATAACGTAGTAAGCAACCAACCTGATCTAAAGCTAATCTTTTGCATCGGCCTATGAATTTTTCTACTTCTTTTGTGGACATATCTGGTGAAATTTCGCCATTTTTCAAAAAGTTAATTAAGGGTAAAAAATCTAATTCTGATTTTTATTCATGAGCAAGGTCCGCAACATAATTTTCATTACTAAAGTCTTTAATAATGAATTTATCAGCAGCCGGAATGTTAACGATATTGTTGGTTTCAATATCTCTTTCAGAAGTCAGGCAGTTTAGAAAATCGATGGTATCTTCTGTTTCTTCATTGCGTGGGGCTGCGATTCTGCCGAGCTTCGTCTTTGAGAGTATATCTGTCACTTTGTTTTGAATGCCTTTGATAATATAATAATAGAAATAAGTTTGCAATTCCACAGCTCATTTAGCTAAACTAGGTGAGCTTCTGACTTTTTGAATACATAAAAGATGGGATTTGATCACAGTGACATTAAAATATAAAAATGAATGGTTTAAAAGTACTAAGGCGTATACAATCTTAGCTAATTCAGCCTGAATTATCGGCAGCTTACATCCTAATTCTGTAAGGGTTCGACTGCAGTAACAAATTGCATAATACATCTCACTACCCCACTGTTAGCTTGCTGCATCAGTGCCCCAGCTTTGGTCACCGCGGAGCAGTCGGTAAATACATGGGAATCTTTAGCACAATTAGGATATCTGCGAATTTCCGCACTTGATATGGGAAAATTCACAATTAATTGCAACACTGGGCCTGTACTCTTGTTTGATGATATTGTGCCTTAGGAGTGTAATAGATTTTTGAGCGAAATGACATTTCTTTGTTGGAAGTTTTAAGTTAACTCAGGCGCTCGAATACATTGCGTAAGACTTTGAAGTACTTATTAAAATCTTTAAATTTGGAATAGACAAGTATATCGTCTACATAAAAAAGCACACTCCTTTCGACAGGCCTCCTCTCGCATGCAGGGGAGAGCTTCGGCTGGGATGAAGGTGTTGACGAGTCACATGGATTTCTAGCATGCATTATTAGTTTTCTGCATGAAGCCAAGTCGTTTTTTCGGTGAATGCCCGTTCACTGAAAAAAAGCAAATTTGAAGGCAGTCGAGAGGATTGTAAAACCTGCAAAACGCACTCACAGTTGAGTATGTGATAAAATTGAGTATTTGTCATGTCTGCGTGCTAAAAATTTTATTTCCAAATTCAATTAAGACCATACGAGAATAGAGAATATCCCTGTAAAGTTTCAGATTCGCAGCTTGTCTGTTAAGCAAAGTAGCCATTTCGCCACAAATATGTTTGGAGCGCTCTAAGTCTTGGCGCAAGTGCAAATCGAAATTCAATTTAGACACATAATTTTCCATATGAACAACAAACACTCTGAGAGAATATTTTGACAGATTCAACAAATATTCTGACAGTTTTCTCCCTAATTCTCGAAACGGCGCAGTGCGAACTGCAAAATTCAACGTGACCGTACACGCGGTATAAATGCGCGTGATAAATGAATTAGAATTCTTTAGCTTATATATGAACAGAGAAGCTTTCTACCTTGCCTGGAACACGAAATCAGTTCTGCCAAAGAAATTTGCATTTTTTTTTCTTCGAGAATTCGCAAGCGAAATCTAGGCGCGTATGAGCGGTGATTTTAAAAGCGGAGGGTGATAGATGGAGTGGGAATATGCCCCTATAATTTCAGTCTCCCAGCCTTAATGGTTCCGAATTGAAAGTGGGTGACAAAGTTCATTCGCCTCCGAACACACATACATACACAAAACACACACACACAACACATACAACAAAACACACACACACACACAAGTGCAGTACCTCAAGAACTGTCAGAAGAAGACACAAGTAATGAAAATTCACTCAATTCTAAGCTTTCCTGTATAACAGGTTTATGTCAAACAATGCAAAAATACGTTAAGAATAGAGGCGTGTGTTTATTAATACAGTTCAACTCAAGAACTACAAAAAGCAGGAAACTGGGGTTTGGCAATAACGCTAACGAATAATTTAGGGCTGCGAAATAAAATTCAACTGTTAGACCGTTTTTGACTCGATCAATAACACCAGGTCCATTAGCCGCAAAGGCAGTGTATAAGAGTTAAAAATGCGCACCCAGTGCGAATTAAAAACCCTGAAATTAGGGCATGAACCCATCTTAATATGCGGTATCTATTCTAACTTCCAGTTCTAAAACTGAAAAAAAAGGAGGGACAGGATCGCCATATAAGCTTGAGTGAGGAATATCTTAGTGTTTTCTGACTGTGGCACACATCCAAAGATGATAATAACTCTTGAACAAAAATCACAAATCCAAAAAAACCGTGTTTCCTGGATCTGCTCAAAAAGCATCATGATGGATTGGCGTATATTGCTGGCATTTTCATCATAATAGCTTATGAGAGATGCGCAATTTCGTCAAACTATTTAAGCTTCAGAGCAAGTTTAAAGTAAAAAGAATTATAAATACATGCAAATTCTATCACGGCTTTTTGAATTTTGGATTCCACAGCGAAAGTTTCTGTCTTGTTGTTGAATAAGGCACATACTTCCGATTTCTGAAAAAGAACTCAAAAAGCAAAAAACGACCAAATAAACGAAAGCGTCGCTGCATTCACATCCTGCCACAATGACAAACAAAGAGAGTGCCTCCCTCCCTCTCCCCCCTTCGCCCCCTTTCCTTTTCTCCCTTCCATGCCCCCTTTCTCGCCATCCACTTTTCCCTCTTTTGCCTTCCTCAGATGAGATCAGTGAAGATCATGCTAAATATAGTAGCAGTGTTGACTATGCCAAACATGCTATTCAAGAAAAGCCTCCTGTAAGTTGAAAATCAATGACTCCTTTGATTTTTCAGTATGAAAGGTGAGGAAACTAGCGAAGTTCTTTCGTTTCGTCAACATAAGTACAATGCTTTACCAAAAACCTTGAAGGGTAAAACTAGGAAAGTGCAAAATCAAAAACTCTACTGGAAGTTCGTTGGAGATTTTACT